TTAATTGGGTACCTACTTATAAAAACAGCCTAAACATGATCAGGCTAATCTGTTAGCTGGATTTGAAGAGGTTTCCAGCTAGTCAGGCTGGGAGACCAGCGAACCGTCTCATGCTGGTTTTTCAAGGGTAGGGTTTGGTTAGTTGCTTTAGGTTTATATAAAAACAACAGATGTCCATGGTATGTCATCATTTAGATAGCTAAGTAAAAAGTGTGTGTGTGTGTGTGTGTGTGTGTGTAAGTGTGTGTGTGAGAGAGAGAGAGAGAGAGAGAAGTGGAGGGGGTTCGGAGAGGGTGGGTGAGTGTTGGCTTGGCTGACCGTCTGCGGTTCTGTCGCGGTGCTGAGAAATGTTCCTTTTGGATCGGACCGTGAGCTTTCATACCTCCCTCTCGCTTTCAAACGAACCGTCTCTCTTCACTCTGCCCTCTTGAGTTTTACAGTTTTTACAGTCATGAATCGAAGACTCAAAATGCATCAAAAGCATTAAACTTCTGGAAGCACCGTAAAGCGCTCTGGCTGACGTTGTGCTGGTCCCGGTTTACGCGAGGTGGGGGATTTGGGTTTGAACCAGTGGCAGATTTTTACCCTCTTAAAGTGTGGGACCTGGCCTGGGCTTGAGTCAGGAGCGCGATGCGTCCCGGTGGGACCGCTGGCGCGTGCTCCTTTGTTGCGCATGGTGACATTGGCGAGTGTTTTCGCTGTATTCGGGCGGCATCACACAGAGGCTGAGTAATCTCGTTTGGATCCAATAAGTGTGTGTGTGTGTGTGTGAGTGAGTGAGAGAGAGAGAGAGAGAGCAAAAGGAGAGGGAGCGGGGGGGGTCTGGGAGAAGAGCCGCGCAAACGCTTTCCAGCTTTGTTAGTTTTCTATCCAACGTTTTACGTGAATTTGTGAATGAAAGCGGACGCTGCTTCCAGTGCACAGATCGCCTGCTTTAATGCGCAAAAAGAAGACGCGTTTTCCCTCACAGATCGAAGCGCTTTCTTCGGGCAGTCTTTTGCGCTGTTCTGGGGGGAGCTGCAAACTTTCTTCATTTTAAAAAATAAATAAAAAGCTCAGATTGCATTCTTTCCCCCTTCAAACATTTTGGAGGTGATGTCATCGGCCCGTGTTTTGGCTGCTGTCGTGCTGGAGCTCCAGAATTGAGTCCGAGAAATCAGGTGCAGGGAGCTGCGAGCGTGTGCCGCTTTCCTTCTATACATTTGTATTATTTTGAAATATTATATGCATAATGATAAAAAATATATATCAATTACATTTTATGATAATCCAAATTTTAATCTAAATCTGTGTAGAACTTTGTAGAAATGTTTTTGGCAGTCTGATTAACTGAGTCAAGATATAGATGCTGAAAAATGCAGCTGATATTACATCTGCTTCTCTTGATATGAGGGTATATAAGGGATGCTCAGTTGTATACTGCACACTATGTCAGATTTTCATACTGTGCCCAGTATGAATACCATGGAAAATAATTTTATATAATGCAGAAATAAGAATAGTATGCTATTGAGAACGCAGCTTAGTGTTATCACTTGAATACCTGATGTTGTAGTAAGGGCAGAGATCCTACAGACGCCCTCTAGTGGATGCACAGCATGAAACAAACACCATAGGAAACTGGATGTTGGAGGTGACGGACGTTGGAAGACCGGAGGGAAACGGCCTCTACATGTCAGGTGGATTAATAATGGTTCTTATCTGCCTCTTCGCTGCTGTCGTGCTGGAGCTCCAGAATTGAGTCCGAGAAATCAGGTGCAGGGAGCTGCGAGCGTGTGCCGCTTTCCTTCTGCTTTCACTTTCCCCCCATCATCTGACCTGGACCGCGCCGCAGTCTCCCCGGCGCAGCAGCCATGACCGAGCACGCTCCGCGGTACCCGGAGTCCAGCTCGCCGCCGCCGCGTCTTCATCGCTCTATCCCCGTCCAGGTGCTCTGCCTCCCGCGGCGCGTCATTTCGCCCGTAGCGGATCAGCAGTGACACACGAACTCTCATGCGTGCGCATGCACTCTACGGAGTTTTAATCCTTTTCTGTGGAAGGACATTTTCGGCAGGAAAAGTTACGCTCGGACTGCTTGGAAAACACTGGGCACGAACCTTTTGCTGGCTGTCGAAAAGTTTTTATGAGCGGAAACGACGCATAGGTGTGGGTCGCGTTTGAACTTCGCTTCACCTGTTCCTCAGACTCCGGAGGTTTAAGCTTCGCCCCGCCTCCTGCCCGTTACCGACCGTGCACCGCGACCATCCGCTCACACCCCGCTGACCCCTTGCCGCATGTTGACGGTGAAAAGATGCAGTCCACCGGCGATAGCGGGAATATCCGCGGACCCTGCATTCAAACGGATTAAACAAACCGGACAGACGTGAAGCTGTGACCCTGAGAGCCGTTTCGCAATCGCGCACGGAGCCACACGGACGCGGAGGAAGCGATGTGGGCCTTTCTCTCCACGGTGGCTGTCTTGTAAGTCATTTGTGAATGAGCTCATGCAGAATTACTCTTAATGAATTGTTGCCTAAGTTGTAATACGTAAATTATTCATCAAAAGCAGTCTGTGTGCCACACGCTTCACTTGAAGTGACAAACTCCAAGTCTTGCATATATAATGATCTCATGACATCACCCCTCTGGGTTGCCATGGACACAGATGTCAATCACACCCAGCTCAGGTAAGGCCATGTCCAATGAAAACAGGCCACTCCAAAGGTGTGTCTGCCACTCTCTGTATTTTCCTTTCTTTTTTGTTGTGCACACAAGGCAGTCATCTTGAGATGGTTATCATTCCTTTCCCAACCTGCGGATGGGACCAAAGGGCCTCTGATAATCCACTCTGCCCAGAATCCCGACGCTCCCCCGGGCAGACAGAGAGGCTGTCTGGTCCTGTCCCACCAAATTACTAATAATAACACCCAAGGTTGGTTGTTGCAGCAGGCATGGAGCTGGCACCTTATCTGCTGTCTGGATAGAGCGGAGCGCATGTGACCTTCTCCGACAGGAAACTGCAGTTTAGAGACAGAAAAACATCAAACGGAGCTTTAACATTCTCAGACAGTTGTGCAGAATTAGCCGGGAATTGTGCAAGCGAGACAAGATCGAGTTTGCTGACTTGTTCTCAAGGCTCGTGTCATTACAGGCAGATTCACTTTATTTGATAATAATCTAAATTAGTGGTTCAGGGTCTGGTGAAACAGAAAATGTCAGGTGGATTAATAATGGTTCTTATCTGCCTCTTCTTTCCTCCTCTCCGTCCCTCCTTTCCTCTCTCTTCCTCTGAAAAACAACTTTCCTTCCAATGGCACATACTTCACGAGGTGGGAGAGGTTGAACAAGAAGCAAACATGAATGCATTTAGAGCAGAAAGTCGATGTGTGTGTGTTACAATGGGTGGAGGGGACCAAAGGGATGACCTGCAAGTCCAAATCACTGACTAACTACTGACCCTCATGTCCCACTATTAATAACTGTCTCCCAGCTCTCACACACATGAACGAATGTTGTGTTCGAGTGTGTGCGTGGGTTATACTTAGTTATACTTTGAGCTCAAATAAGTTAGTTAAGTAGACAAAAGACATCATGAATTAGACAAACGAGTCCTAACGAGTCCTTAATTGGGTACCTACTTATAAAAACAGCCTAAACATGATCAGGCTAATCTGTTAGCTGGATTTGAAGAGGTTTCCAGCTAGTCAGGCTGGGAGACCAGCGAACCGTCTCATGCTGGTTTTTCAAGGGTAGGGTTTGGTTAGTTGCTTTAGGTTTATATAAAAACAACAGATGTCCATGGTATGTCATCATTTAGATAGCTAAGTAAAAAGTGTGTGTGTGTGTGTGTGTGTGTGTGTAAGTGTGTGTGTGAGAGAGAGAGAGAGAGAGAAAAGGGGGGGGGGGTGGGTTAGGAGAGTGTTTTAAAATATTGCCTCAACTTGGGTCTAAGTGAGTAATACAGTGAGAAATTATGATCTCCAGAGGTATTGTCCCTGTAACTGGTGCACTTTAAGTCATCCTGCTTATTGAGTACTTCCTAAATGACCTTGTACTTTCAGGGTCTGAGCAGCAGGAACAGTCTCCCTACATTCTCAGACAGTTGTGCAGAATTAGCCGGGAATTGTGCAAGCGAGACAAGATCGAGTTTGCTGACTTGTTCTCAAGGCTCGTGTCATTACAGGCAGATTCACTTTATTTGATAATAATCTAAATTAGTGGTTCAGGGTCTGGTGAAACAGAAGACGACAGTGGACGCAGATGTCTCGAAGTCTTATTTTCTTGTGTCAGGTGTGCTAGAGGATATTTATTTGCGATGAGGTGAAGATAGTTGACATTAATCAGACATGTTTCATTTAAAGCTTTTCTCAGTGGTGCACCTGCGGTTCAGTCACTTGCTCAAGGCCATAGCGATAAGCAGTAGACAATGGAATATGATTTGATTTAGTGCACTCATGCAATCAGAACAGAAATTTACAAACCACATGCTCTACAAGAACAGGGGCGTGTCTAGAGCATTTTAAATGGGGGGGCCAGTCGGGGGCACTGGCTCAAAAGAGGGTGGCCGGGGGACCTGGAGAGATTCGTCCTCGCGCGAGCCTATCGCAAGACATCTGGTAGGGGGGGCACCTGGGGTGGCCAGCCAAATTTCGGGGGGGGCCGGTGCCACCCCTGGCCACCACGTAGACACGCCCCTGTACAAGAAGAAATGGAATTGACCCCATTTACAAATCAATCAACTTCTAATGCCTAAAATCAAGTTACGCCCTAAAATTTGAAGTTGTAAATAGTGATTATTGGATTGTGTTTTACAATGTAATTAATGTGAAATGTACTAGCAATTTCTGTCAATTATGACAGTCAATTATGAGTGTATATCTCACAATTATGACTTCTCAGAATTGCGGGTTTTTCTGAGTTTGTCTCACAATGTTGATTTTATATCTCAAAATTCTAAGAAAAAAGTCAGAATTGTGAGATAAAACACAAACTGCTCAACCACCATGGTTTTTCTGATGCATCTGGTGACCAAGGAAGTCCTACTGGTTTTAACTGATAGGTGCGTCAACCCTAGATGCAAAACAGGTTTGAAATTATTCATGTGAACTTGAACAGAAGGAGTGAAGATCTAGGAAAATATATTCCCATATCAAGACAGATACAGTGACCTTGAATGAGTGCTGTAGAAACCAAGGCTTTTACTGTGACATATGTAACATGCAACAGCACACAGACGGGACTTTCTGTTCCTGTAGATCTTTCAGAGAACATTAATCTTGAGCGTCGACCCGACTCGCAGCACCTACAGCCCTGACTGCATTTCTCTTCCCTTCCCTGCGCTGCTATATTGTTTAAACTTGGCCAGCGGTGTAAATTGTGCTTGAAGGGTGTGCGGGGTGATTTGGGATACGACTCCACCTCGCTGCGCTCAACTCTACACACGAACGCCTTCAGGAATCGTTCTGTCTCAGGTTTGATGATGTCATCACCCTGCTTGTTTTGGCCGCTGACAATAGTGCTCAGTAGAGTAAAGCTCGCAGCTACTTTCTTTCTCTCTTTCCCCTTTCCCCCACCTTTCTCTCTCTCTCTGGCAGGCCGCAGGCTCGTTGCGGTTTGGGAGGGATACGGAGAATCCGAGGTTGCAGCTGAAGTAGTTTTTTTTTTTTTTTGCATTTTCTTTCCCCCTCACTCGCTCTCTCTCTCAGTGAAACACTACTGTTTTAACAGCTGAGAGTTCTTACGGGACCCAGAGCCAGTCTCACCTGCGCAGCCAGGGTTTGGCAGCTACACCAACCATACGTGCACAGATCCGCAGCCAACGTGATCTGCAGCCAGCATGCACAGATCTGCAGTTTGCACGTGCAAATTTGCAGCCTGCATACAGTGTGTGCGGAGCCACTGCGCATGCATGACCTCAGAGAAACGCATGCACACTAATGCACATCAGTCAAATTTACAACATGTGTATATAGTAAACACACATATGCCATCAAAGCTCATAAAGCACTAAATATACTCAATAACATTCATAAGGCCTTATTAATGACCACATAAATTGCTTGACAAGCACAGAAACTGGAAGCGTTTTTTTATGCCTATTAGCCATTGTATAGATAAATGTTTATGTTCAGATACAATACCATTCAAAAGTTTGGGGTCAGTAAGAGTTTTTATTTTGATGAACGAAATTAATACTTTTATTCAGCAAGGATGCATTAAATTAATCAAAAGTGACAGTAAATTACGTTTTAACATACATTCACATAGAAAACAGTTATTTTAAATGGTAATGATATTTCACATTATTGCTGTATTTCTGATCCCCAAAAAAAATATACAGCCTTGGTGACCATAAGAGACTTGTTTCAAAAACATTAAAAAATATCTTCCGACCCCAAACTTATGAACTGTATTGTATCTTCATTTGTATAAACAGCTTCATACATATTCACATCAGAAATGCAGACGGCGTAAATCAGTGCACAACGGGTATGCATGGATTTAAAAAAATAACAAATAAAAACTGCACACAGGTGTTTATGTGAGCAGGTGCACACACACACAAACACACATGAGAACCTGGTCAGCACATGCACATCTGCTCAGTTATGACGCGAGGTGTGTGGCCGTTCAGGGACTCAGGTACAAAGGGTCAAAGCACAGGTGTGTGTCAGCCAGACGGGTGAAGTCTATGCCGTTTAGCAACAGGATACACAGCGTCTCTGTTCCATTTACATTGTTAACATGATACAGAGAACACAGACAAACACACATGCTTGTGAACATATTGGGCCAGTATGAGTGAAGAAAAGGGCCTCGATCTGTTATGGAGAAAGATGCCCATTTTACATTTTCCTACATCTTGTTTCTCTTGATGTGGAGGAGTTTAGTAATGGAGGAAAAGGTTTTGAGAGTGCGGTGACACCGGCGTTTCATGATTTGTTTTATGTGCTGCATGAATGCCAGGAAATGATAGAACAGGATGGCAGATCATCTCCAAGAAACTGATTGGTTGGAATTGCTTATAGATAATTCAGCATCAAGGGGTTTTGCTAGTTTGTATGATCCTGTAACTATACCATCTGGTTGTGAAAACCATCCAAAGTAGTTCACTTTTTCCCCCTAATCACTCTGGAGCTGCAGGGAAATTATATAAATAACTTTAATGGCATAAATGTAATGTCATATCCTATAATTTTCATGAAATAACCTATTAATCACAGCTCAGGGTTTGGGATTAAGACTGTATCCAAAATCGGACACTTCCCTACTATATAGTAGGGGGGAAAAGTAGTATGTCCGAATTCACAGTATTCATAAAACAGTAGGCAAAAGTATTTTTCTGCTGAGATTCTGAAGTGCACATCTGATGGACACATTGCTACCTCATGAGGCCATGGGAGAGGAACAGCAGTAAAGCAATGTAACTAATGCTGGCAGGTCACATGACAATGACAACATGACGAATGTAGTACGTCCAA